CCATGTGAACGTTCTTTCCACTTCTTATACAAACCAGTCTTGGTGGCCTTCGTTTTTGCACCACTCTCTGTCTTTATCTACACTCGAATGGAAAGTTTATATTTATGTTCTAATTATTCAAGGTAGGTGAATAGAAGAATCTCACTTTGCATAGTACGTATCAATATAAACTATGGGGTTACAAATATTGTACCTTTCCGTTTGCAGCAACACGATCACCATTGTTTAACTTGATGTACTTTTTACTCCTCTGGCACCAGAAGGTTTACATGAGATAAATGAGACATTTTTCAATAAAATTTAAAAAATAACTGTCTTTCTTCCCTATAAATCAATCACAACTTCAGTATTACCTTATCCCAGTGATACATAGATCTTTGTTTGTGAATACCAGCACCATCATCTGCCACTAGATCAAGGACAGCGGAGTCCAATCTAAAAATATTGAGTATTATTAGGACCAAAACCAAACAAGCAAAAACTAAAAACATGAGAAAGGATGGGATTGTATAAATAAAACTGAATCATACATTCTGAAAGTCACAACACAATAATACACAAGCAAACAAACTAAACACAAAAGCACAAACATAATCAGCTAAAAGTTTTAGTTTGGCTTCTGAACTAATGATTTAGAAATGGTTTACGATAAAATCACCCCAATAACATAATAAAGAGAAATGCTACCTATTTGAAGCAAAGTCTTCATTGGCTTTTACTGAAAGGCCAGCCTCCATATGCTGAGAATCATAGCAAAATTAGTAGCAATGTTTTTTGTTTCAGAATCATAATCACCATGAATAGTGTATATCTGTATGATGAACTATGTGATTCAGATAGAAACTTACTTGATTTTTTGGTATTGAACTTATATAGTGATCTTCATCCTTGAAGCTTTGGGTCTTTCTCTTAGAACCACGTGCTGCTAAAACTCAAGTAAACAGAATCAGAAACTAATCATCATATTTTTCTAACTTAACTCTTCTAGTCTTCTTTCACTCAAATCCTAATAAGGCGTGTCCAAGTAAAAGTAAACCTTGAATTTTTCTACCAATTTTAACCGACAAATTCTTACACGGGAAAGGTATTTTTTGGATGCAACAGGGAAAGAAAATTGCATATCAAACGATAGCCAAGCAGACATTTTCCACAATATCCTATAAATTCATACAGATACACAGTATATTCTGAGGTGCCATGTGCCTTTCTACTGTGATATACTCAAAGAACGTAGAGATATAACCACCACAGAATATATAGTATATATCAGTACTAGTAGCCAACTACTTTGTTCCAGAGGCATAAGGCAGTACATAAAACAAGGGGAAAATACATCATGATGAAGATTATTCACTTTAAAAGTTGAAAATACAATGACCAAACTCAAGAATATTCAATGACAATATAAATGAAATAAAACCTTTTCTTCCTTTCTCCATGGAAGGATTGAGTTCTGATTCGATTTCCTCCTGCAAGGAGCACATATACATATCCCCAAGAAATGAATACGTGAAAAAGAAAATCCAAAATAAAATTAACTATTATTGATTCCAATCAGTCAGCAGAATACTGGAGGTTATTTAAAGAAAAAGGAGGTTGAATTGTCCAAATCCAAATTTCAGCAGTAGCCAAATACCTTTTCCATATTATCCTTAGATTGCTGTTGTTCGTGGACCAAATTTATAATATTCTCATGAATGGCTCTTTTCCTTTTCATCACATCGCCCCATTGCCCGGAAGGGCCCTGCAATTATTGAGCATCACGTTTAATGTATAGGAAAAGTACAAAGATAACAATGTAGACATGCACATCATAACTAATTTCAAGGGGGCTATTTTGGTCGAATGGACCATAAACTTTAATATGATATATAACAGAGCATAAATGAAACACTGACAAGGACATTCAATATATATAAGTGAAAACCCAATCATGAATACAAATACCCAAATCTAAAAAATAAATAAGAACGTGCTTGGAAATTGGCATAGAAAGTAAAACAATAAGAATGTAATAGGAGATTAGGAAATTTACTTCAAAAGATAAATGCTGAACTAATGGCTATGACATTAATTATATTGAAATGGGAAATGTTATGTCGTACAAGAGAAGCGTTGATTTTAATCCTTGGAAGAGGGGGAGCAACAACAATTTTACTCTACATACCAAATCAAACAATGAAATTATGGAATTGGACCAGAAAATGGAATTCTACACTGGACATAATGTGAATAATGTATTTAAAGAATAAATTCACCTGTTGATGCTTTGATTTAGCTGCTTCTCCTTCGGCTTCCAAAATGGTTTGTTTTGGCCTGAAATTGAATTATTAAAGCAACGTAACTGTAGAATCTACAGAAAGAATAAGTGCTGTTAACTCACCTAAACTTCTTCAAATGCTCAGAAAATGCAAGTGCTGTTAACTCTCCCGTTTCCAACACCTTCATGAACATTGGATGCAGCCCTTCACGAGGCAAATCCTTTACTCTTCTGATGGACTCCTTGGCAGGTAAGGGTTTTGTTTTTGAATATAAACGAAATGCATTTTTACAGGTCCTCTGCAACAATTCCAGTTCTGCAGAACTATCCATAACTTCCCTGACTCTGTCTGAAAAAAGGTCAATGACTTTTTGTGGGAAACGACCATAAATGGTTTCTCTATTTGCCATTGCCTGATCACATCTAGACATTACACCATCCATATCCTGCAAGAGCTCTTCTTCAGTGGGAGCAGGTTTGATGGGTTTTGAAAGAAACAAATGAAGATCCAAGAGGTAGGCCATATCCTCAGGAGTCACAAAAGAATATGCAGTACCAGTCCGACCAGCCCTTGCAGCCCTTCCAACTCGATGGACAAATATTTTAGGCTTGGGGGGGAAGTCCCAATTGATAACATTATCAAGCAATGGAATGTCGATGCCACGAGCCGCAACGTCGGTGACAATCAACAACATGGTCTTCCTAGACCTAAACCTGGATACATGGATTTTTCGAGCATCCTGATCCATGTCGCCATAACACACAGACGGCTCAATACCCTCTTGGCGAAACAAGACATTGAGAAACTCTACATGATGTTTGGTGGACACAAAAATCAATGTCTGCTCATCAGAACCAATATGTTCCCTGATCAAGTAAAGCAGGGCGGGGTACTTCTCCTCCTGCCTCAAGGTGAAGAAGGCGAGCTTCAAGTCCGGGCTGATCTTAGTCTCCAGGTCGAGGCGAACAAGCTGAGGGTCTCTCAGACCAGCCTTTGCAAATTCAGCAAGAGCACTGGGTAATGTGGCACTAAAAAGCAAGGTCTGGCGATTCTCCCCGAGCTGAGCAAGAATCTTATGCAACTGCTCGGCAAAACCCATGCCAAACAAACAATCGGCCTCATCGAAAACAACGTACTCGACGCTGCGCAAGGACATGTCATCAACTTCCGACAAATGATGCATGAGCCTGCCAGGAGTGGCAATTATAATGTCAGGACTCTGAGCCAATTCCTCAAACTGACTCTCCATGCTATCGCCGCCAACCAACAAACTGATACGAAGGTCTGCAAACGAAACCAAAACCAAAGTCAAAATCAAAATCGATCCCAAAAGTTGCATCAAACAAAAAGAGAAGCGAACCTGTGAAGTGGGCAAGCTCTTTGGTGAACTTGAGAGTCTGAAGGGCGAGGTCCCTAGTGGGAGACAGAATCAGGGCTCTGACTCCAGACTGAGGGATGTGCTGGTTGAGGCGCTGAATCATGGGGACGAGAAACGCAGCCGTTTTGCCGGAGCCGGTGCGAGCCATGGCAACGACGTCCGAGCCAGAGAGGATGAGGGGCATGGTCTTGCGCTGAATGGGAGTGGGAACTTTGTACCCTTTGCGCTTGATTCCCTTGAACGCATTCGGACTCAGACCCAGTGACTCGAAGCCCCCAGATTTTGTGTTCTTCTTCTTCTTCATCATCGCCGCCCTTCCTTCGCCTCCCATCTTTCGCCGTCCGAACACCACACTCTTTCCGCCCTCTCCTCTTCCTTCCAAGAATTAGGGTTTTATTCACTACTATATAATTTGTTCATAAATTGTTCCATGATACGAATGTAAAATATTTTTTACCGTAGTGTAGAATTATTTCTAACTTACATATGATATTTCATTTTTATAACATTATAAATTTTAAAAAAATTATTGTCTTTTGAAATAAGAAGTCAAAACCATTGTATTTTCCTTGTTTTTTAACTCACAACCATTATTGTTCAAAAATAGAAATAAAATATTATATATGTATACACAAATTACAAAAAAATGAAAATCTCAAAATTTATTTGCTTTGTGTTTTTATTGGTCCAGTTAAGATATTTCGATCTTTCACTTCCTTAAGTAGTGTTTGTTTGTGATTATCTTTAGTATGTTTTGATTATCCAAAATTATTAAGTCATAAAGAGTTTGAATATCAAACGTAATAATCAATTATCATTAACATTTTATTTAAAAAAATAATAATGAGTTTTTATTTAGACTAAATATGGTCCAATTACAGTTTAATCATAATTACTAAGCTTATTTATATTAATATTTTCATATGACTTTAATTATGTTAGTTGTATTTTTGATAGATAATTTTATTAATCGATAGACTTTCAGATAGATCTTATCAAGACATTATAAACTTTGTTAATTATGACCTCAACAAGTGTTTTATTGAATCATATTTGGTTTCAGAAATTGATATCAACCCAACCAACCAGTCTCTATACTTTGGTCGGGTTCATACTATACAGTTTGCATAGTCATTTATTTAAGAATTGAAAACTTTGATTTTGTGTACCACAAACATTATTTGATTAATTAATTCTCATATCTCATTACTCATGAATACCTTTTTTTTTGTCATTTTGTTGGATATGATATTTCTCTTACCAAATGTAAAAGTAATTATTAAAGAGTAAACATATATGGTTCCTGTACTCACTATTTCTTTTAAAAAGGCTTTGATCATTTTCCTCATTGCCAACACAATATGGGTAGATTGAGGTGAGTTTAGTTTACACGTTCATTTGCTAGTGAATTATATTATTTGTAATATTTTCACTTTATAGAATTGTTTTCTCTGACAGAAAATTGCTAAAGACAGAAGGACAAAGGAGAAGTCTACGGTTATTTACATTGGTGACCAAGGCTAGTGATCGTTTAGATAATAAGCAAGGACCTGCATTTCGAACAAGGGGCAAGAAGAACACAAAATTGAGGACATCCCAACAACTCAAACCATCAAACAATCAAGTATTATTTTCAATTTTATGTTACCTTTTTCACACCCTGTTTAATCCTATCTTGGTTTACATTCATGAGTCATTATGCAGGATGTGAAACATTCTAGCCATAATGATATTCAAAAGAAAAGTTGTAATGGTGAGTAAAATTGTATTTTCATTTTTGTGATTGTTCATAATGCATTCAGTTTACACATGATTGATAATGAACTAGATAAGCCATCAAAGTTTTCATCTTCAAGCTTTTTGCCAGAGAAACGAATACTTCAACTTCTACTTGACACTTTACAAAGGTGTAGAATATTTTTATCATTGTTGTGTATGATTTTAAAACTATGATTACCTTTTGTGATTTAAATATAATGTTTTATATCATACAGGAAAGACACCTATGAAATATTTATAGAACCAGTTGATCCAAATGAGGTGTGTGGCCATAATTAGCTGCAATATTTTTATGGATATTATTATAGGTTTTTCTTTCTAATTCACTCTTTTATGGAACTAGGTTGAAGATTATTATGCAATCATTAAAGAGCCTATGGATTTTGGCACTATTAGGGCTAAACTACATGAGAAGATGTACAAAACTCTCGAACAATTTGAGGTTAACAACCTTTTATTGTGTATATGCGACTATGTTTTCCCTTATATAAATTATTATACTTGTTTGATTCATCATTTAATACATGATATTTGACCCATTATGCAGCATGATGTTTTTCAAATATTTAACAATGCAATGCGTTTTAATTCTCCTGGTACCATATATTTTAGGCAGGTATGAAATATAAAGTCATTTAACTTTTTTTTGTTCTAATTTGTTGTAAAAACTCTAACTTACCTTAATGAAATGATTAATTAACCTTTCATTTTGCAGGCTCGTGTTATAAATGAGCTAGCTAAGAAAGTTTTTGATGTATTAAAGAAAAATCCAGAGAAATTTGAAATGGAATATTCTGAAACGAGACAAAAAATAAGATCAATTAATCAAGAAGATTTTAGAAATTCAAGAGACCTTAAATCCAATGAAATAACCTCAAAAACTACATGGTGTTCATCTCATACATCAAATAAAAGAAGTTTTAAGACAAATTGTCTTGATGCTAAAGATGTTAAGATTACTATAGGTAAGAGTAAAGGTTCTAGTTTTGAAAACAAATATTAAGTTTTATTTTATTTTAACACTTGGAACTAAATTTTCTTCAACAAAATTTTATCCATTATAGGTACTAAAGAGTGTAACAAAAGCAAGTTTTTTGAGATTGATAGACATGGTATGTATAAACCCTTCTACATGAGCAAGGAGAAGTCTATACTTCCAACAATAAATGGTGAACTAAAACTTCTTCAGCATGTGAGTATTATTTTTCTCATTGCCTAATATACAAATATATTTTAACAAAATGCATGATAAACATATCGTTATTTTTCTCATGTTTTACATAGGTTGGTCAACAAGATATTAGCTATAAAGATAGCTTGATGATGTTTGCCAAAGATTTAGGACCCATTGCCCAAAATATAGCCAAAAGGAAATTTCTTGCATGTGAAATTCTCAAAAAAGCATCTGGTTCTGCTCCATGCAAAATAGAAAATGATACTTTCAACATATTCACTACCTCTTCCACGATATGTTATCATTTGGATAATGTTCCTAGTTATCCTAACACAACAAGTCTCACAGATAATGTTGACAAAGAGAAAGGTTGCAATCCTTTAAAAGGCAACACTTGGGAATGTTACAAGTGGTGTGATAAAGAGTTCTTAAGTAAGAGATTTTATTTTGAGCCATGTTACTCATGAGCTTGCTTACACTAAAGGTGTTACTAGTTTATAATGTAAGGAACTAAAGAAATTGAAAGGATGTTGGATAAATCAAAATACGCTAATCAAGTAAACTTATTAGAATCATCAATCTAGCAATGTGCTAGAATTAAGGTTGAAAAACAATTAAGTTCCAATTAAGTAATAAAGTAAAAAGTTAATATATTTTCTTTTAAGAAACTTATGTAAAACTTGATAATTCTCACAACACAACTTGATTAGACAACAAAGTTCACAAAAAAAACAAAGAATTTCTTTTTTGTATTTTTATCAAACAGTTTGTGTGCAAAAGAAATTTAACATGGAGTATTAACAATTGTAAAGATTATATTTCATTCCCGTTCAACCAAACATCTCAATTCTAATTTCAGTTTAAAATCAACTCAATATACTCAAATCATATCCCTCTTGAGCCTATAATAACTTATTAAAGTTCGATTTTTTGTATTATCAACAAGTGAATCATGCATTAAGTTCAAAAATCTTAAAATTACTAATGAAGAAAGTTTTATGCCTAGATACAAGTTTCATTAGGTACTTAATTTTAGTTTCGAGTTCAAAATACATTTTTCAACACCTTAAGAACGACTATTAAGACGACATGAGTGTTCAAGCATAAAACTTCAAATACTAACATTGAAATGGAAACACATGTGTATTAACATTGCAAAATACATAAGAAAATAGTTTATTACATATAATATTAACAAATAGGTTTAACATTCATAACATATATCAATTGGTTTTGATAGTCTTGGTAAGAATAAGGGTGATGAATTTCTTCTATTGATTATAATCTAAATCTAAAACTAATGAAAAATTAATCTTTTATTTTATTTACTCGAAATTTCCATCTTCTTCTATGATAATAAAAAGGAAGAGGCTAAAAAACATAAAGACAATAAAAGAAAAACAAACAATTCCCCACGGATATCACACACATAAATATATACAGGATAGAACTTTTATTATCTTTCTACTTATAAAACTATATTTCAATCGCACATATATATGTCTTTTTTAAATTTAATGAGTTTTGTAGAAATTAAGTGTAGTTGAACATATAGTAAATGAAAAAATATTAATATCCACGCGCACATTTTATTGTTAGAGAATTTTTCAATGACAAAGTTATAAATATTAGAATAATTTTAATTTTATTAACTATAACTTCCAAACATTCACCACAAAATCTTCTACTTTAGACAAAGCTAAACTATATCGAACGTATATAAGTATTGTTCAAGTATATTAGGAAAGTATATATATTGCTTACACTATCTTGAATAATGTTGACATGATTTAGAAAGTAATTTGCAATGATATATTATTAATTAATTATGGTGGTGAAAATATCATAGATGTATGATGTATAGAAGGCGAGGGGAATGTGTGAGAGAGAAAAGTTAAGGGTGGACGTGAATTGCTCCGAATCCTACGTTTAAGGTGACGGAGAGGAAGCAGACACTTGTGTGTTTAAGGATGGTGAGATTTAAAGTGGGAAAGAAATGGTATTACGAGTTGAAAGGTGGGAGAGAAAGTGTTGGTTGTGTTTGTGATTGTGATTGTGATTGTGATCGTCATCGTGATCTCGTGATCATCGTGGTGTTGCGGCATTGGCTGGCTGTGGTGGCGCGCGGCGGTGGCAAGGCAATGGCATACAGAAGAAGACACGGAATATCCAGAGCTTCCACCTTCAAGGAAGAGATTCGACATCATGCAGATGATGAAAATGGTTCACCTACATCTTCCTCACCCCTCGCTGTTCAGGCCATCAAAGCCTCTGCTGCTCGTCGTGATCCCTCTCTTCACCTTGCTTTCCCCAAATATGAACATGACCATCACAGATCCAAGGTTAATTAACTCTTACCACGTACACCATTTCCATGCATAATATTTTGATGATGCACTTCATAATAATCAATAGTTTCGCCTCCATGCACGCATGCAGAGCTGTGATAACAATTACGTGGTGGCTGATGTTTCGAAATCCGGCGTGTGGGGCGTCCTCGCTCAGAAGGCCAAAGAAATTCTGGAGGAGGATAAGCCATCCTCAAACCCACACCACGACGCCATCTCCTCCGAAAAACTCAAAACACACTCTTTCAATACATTTTCTTCTCCTCTCGTACGTAATCTACTGCATTGATTCTAGTTACATGATCACACTTTTCAAATCTTTTTCTCATTGTTACGATGCTTAATCTCAGGAGGGCATAGAGAGCAAAGCATCGGGTCGAGGATCTCCAACGAAGCCAAAGGGAATTTCTCTGTCCAACTCAAAGTCACAACTAGCTCCTTCGACGTGGAATCCATGGCAACAACCAGCCCAGACAGGAGACCCTCAAGCCATCCACGCAACACAACTCAAGGCATCTCGCGACGTAAGGTGGCACTAGCAACTATGTAGTTAATTGTCTGTCATACTGCTTCGTGCAGTAAAAAAAAAAACATATGATCAATGTTATTTTTTTGGTTGATTTTGCTTTGATATATAATTCATGTTCAATGGCTTTGGTTTCTTTAATGACATGAGACGCAAGATTTGGTCTTTGTTTTTTGATGGGTCGCAGGTTGCAATGGCAACAGCTGCAAAAGCAAAATTGCTTCTGCGGGAGCTAAAAACAGTGAAAGCAGATTTGGCTTTTTCTAAAGCACGCTGTGCTCAACTGGAAGAAGAAAACAAAATGCTCCGCGACCGCGAGGGTAGCGAGAAAGGACAAACCGTTATCCGTGCAGACGATGATTTGGTGAGTCAGTATTCAAAGTTCATTACAAGTTTTTCCAGAAGTTTGTATAGTACTATGTATTTATTTAAGAATGTTGTGTTGGAGAAGATCCGGCTTCAACTAGAGACACTTCTTGCGGAGAAGGGTCGGTTAGCGAGTGAGAATGAGGTGTATGCTCGGGAGAATCGTTTTCTACGGGAGATTGTGGAGTACCATCAGTTGAGTATGCAGGACGTGGTGTATCTTGATGAAGGCATGGAAGAAGTTGCAGAACTTTATCCCATAGATACCACTTGCATTTCTTCACCAGGAGTTCCTAGGGTAGAGTTCCCCATGTCACCACGCTCACCCTTAAATCCAGGCTCCCAGAAAAAATCAATATTTTCTGTGTCACCTCAACAGCAGCGTCAACGACAAGAAGAAGACGAAGCAGAAGATAACAAGAACATTGCATCAGAATTAAATGAACATGCAGTTACAAATTGATGATCCTTATATATATTTTTGACATGTGTAGTTTGGTTTAGCCTTAGATGGGTTCCTTACTTGTGGAAAACACATAATTGTTCACTTGTTACAATCTGGGAAGATTAAACTAGCTAGGAATGACGGGGTTTAGTGTGTGTTCCCCCTAACCAAAAACACATTCTGTTAATTCATTATGTATCTATCAATCTCTCTCTCTATATATATACATTTGTTTGCAAATTTCTTAGAAGAAATCTGGTTACTGTTAGGAAGACACAAAAGTATCTTTTCCTAATCTAACTGTCTTGGGTATAGGATTTGAGGATTTCTCCAGAACACTTCTTCACATTTTCTTTCAAGTTAGCATAGGTGATCATGAACACTCTTAGTTAAAATCCTTTTTTGTCCGAGCTTCAAACATTTCAGATATACTTGTTAAATTGGATTATGCTTGATATGGATCATTCGGATCGATCCTATCAATGATTTTGATTATATAAATCATCTAAGTCTTATGGTATACTAATTATTGTTGCAAGTAAACTCGATTATATAAGGTTAAAATTTGATGTGAATTTAAGTTTTAAACATGAAAAATTTACGCATTTTATAACATACTCATAAACTATAGTCTTAAGTTAGATGTAAATAAACTCCTTTAATCTGCAGTACAAAACTCTTGTTTGTTTGTATGCTATCTTATTTGAAGCTAAACAAGTTGAAGGAAGAAATAAGTTTAATGGAGGAGCATGTGAACGTGACTATGACGTCACTAATCATGAAAAGGAGCTTCTACTTGAATTTGTGCTTACTCTCTTGGACTATGCAATCATACAGCTAAAATAATCTTAAATTATTTTACTTATCAGTATATTAAATTACTTGGAAAACAACATGAATTATTAAGTGGCATGCACTTTTTTTCTATCTTTAATTTATGCAATTTGGTATGAAAAGCATGAAAGACGAGATAACATAACTTTGTTATCATCCAACTACTAGTTAACTGCTTTATTCAAATCCTTCGTTCACCATCATAAACTTTGAGTTGCCGACAAAAAAAGATGACTTGTTGTCACAGATTCTTTTTCTCTATTATCAGTTTCACACCAATTACCAGCAAGTGTCAATTTACATAACATTTTTCATTAGAAAGCGCCATCACTGCTATATGTTACTCAGCTCAGGTGAAAACGCTATCTTTGTCCACACTTCAATCAACATATATACACTTAATCTTATGTTATTCTTCTGAAACAATTGAAAGTACAATAAATTTCTTTTCTTTTTCTTTTTCTCATAATCCATGTATATATATTTCTCGTATTTCCTTGATCCATTTATTATCATAAAAATGGTTGTATTCATTTTTTTTTCTACAATTAAAATACATAATTTTAGAAGTGAAATTTAACCTCATTCAATAAAATTTAATTTATAAGATGATATTTTTAACGTAAAGTAGAATCTTCAATCATTATAGTTAAATAAAATAATAGATAAATATTTTTCAAATAGGGCAAAATATAAAACTCGGCAAACATTAAAAAAATATATAAAAACTAAAACATATGACTTTATATAGATCAAACATATAGTTCTTTTAATTTTCTAGTAATTCATAATTAAGTGAAATAAACATTAATAAGTCATCATTCACTTTGAATTTACACTCTTGAGCCGTTACTTTATAAACAAATATGTCAACCACAGCAAAGTAGATAATCTTCTTATATCTTCTTAGAAATTCAAATCCAAAAAATAAAAATAGTTACTTCATTA